ATAATTTTATTTAAACAAACCTAAACAGGAAGGTTTATTGAGACTGCCACAGTAGGAAAATCACTGAGTTGAACATTTGGTCATATGATCTCAAAGTTATTTCTGATAAATGGATTTCTTCTAACAATTATTTAAGTTTGACATATTTGCTAAAATAATGCTAGGAATATATTGCAGTTGCTTGCAGTTATCTGTAATAATAAAAAAAGACCTCACTATTCCAGCAGCAAACTGGAAAATGGAACAAAGGGAGCATTTACTAATAGAAATAACGAGAAAACTGCTCGATTTGCGGACAAAGTTGGAAGTTGATAAGAAAATGGGAATCTAAGGATTAATAATAGATATTCTAATTCCACGCCTTTGAAGTTCTATTCTCATGTTAGCATGTTGAGTGACTTAGAAGTTTGATAGATCTGACTAAACGCTTGAATCGGTTTCCCAAGCTCTCTAGTGACCCTAGACTAAATCTGCACGACGACCTGAACATGAGGGAAAAAGTGCGAAATTCGGAGAGAACGCTCTATTCCAAGTTTAGTTTATGTACAAAAAATTGAGGGTATTTATGCGATTTCAGACGGCCTTGGGATTTTGTGAAGTTCTGGAACGCTACTAAACATAGTAGTATGATGGGTAATCATCCAATCAGAAATGCAAAATACAAAACTATTTATTTAGTTTACTGAATGTTGTTCTGTAATCCGACTGTTTGCAATTTCCATCCTAGCTACAGTAAACTTTTTATTGGTTAGACCTTAAGGGACATTTGTTTTGATTATAGTTCTTCAAGTGTACAGCTGTAAGTAATATGGATATTTCATTTTTATTATAAAAGCTGAATAGCATGTTCAAAGAAAAATTAGAAACAAAAATGTAAGAAATGAGAAATGCAAGAAAAAAACCCATTTTTTTTATTTATAGTAATAGGAGTCAAGTTATTAAATTTCTCTAGACGTGTTATTCATCTAGTACTCATCTCGTATTTGGCTATGTAAGTTCTACATTTGAATAATATCTACCTTCAGCCTAGTTCATTTGTTGAAAATTTTTAAAAAATGGACTACTCTCTGATTGCTTTCAATTACATCTATAGCAAACAGTTCCGCTTGTTTAGTATGTTATAACAAACCATAATGGATAGAACTAATAAATACATCACACAAAAATATCACTAACATGTATCACCATCTCACGACAAACATAAACGAGTGAATGTGTTAGGTTGTGTATATGTGTGAAAGAAAAACTAAGAAAGGATGTGTCGTTCAATAATATACTGCCATTCCCTTTATCTTTTCCAAGTTAACAAATAAAAGATTCAAGAACTAACATAAAATAATTTTAATGTTGTCCACTTTAAGGTTAATTGGCATTTATTGTACCGGAAAATTTTGATAATATTAAGAATGGAGTTAAAATAAACAAACAAATAAAAAACAAACAATGAAAAACAAATGATAATTAAGAGTATTCGAATTATCTCACTTAGATTTTCTATACAACCAAATGATGAGTTAGTAAAGTGATGTATTGAAAAGTTATCCTGACCTTAACTAAATATATATAGACTACTATCATTATTATTACTTTTATTATTATTATTATAACTACTTGTAAAATGAGTAGCAGAATTTTATATTTTAGGCTTGTTGTGTTGCGTGTTGACTAGAGTAAGAGATGTGTTATTTTAATGATGTGTTTTTCTCACTCTTTTTATGGATGTGGTAATGTCCAATAGTTAAAACGAATTGTCCGGATTTCCGATTTGAGCATTCGAGAAACAAGAACATACTGTTGTTTTCTTTTCTCTTGTTCAAATAGACTTAACTTGGAAAATAAATGAGTTTATACACTAATGACTGTATATTTGCGTATTTGTAAGCATGTGTGAATTATTATGGAAGGAATATGTTTGTTTTCACAACATAGACTAGTGTTACCTTTTAAACACACCAAAATATTTAGATTCACGATAACAGATTAAATTTTTCTCTAAATTACGTTGTGTCGTAGAGTCTAGTCAAAACAACGAATTTTTCTCGAAAATTAGTAATGTAACCTTTAACAAATATCTACCAAAAATTACATATCGTGTACCTGAACGATATCGGAATGTTCTGAATACCAGTATCTTGAAGAAATTTGAATAACGACTGATAGTTCATTTTTATGCGAATATCATTTAAATAGTAATAAACAGAAATGAATAGATTCTGTCTCATTTTGGAAACCATAATCTTTATATGAAGAATCAGATCTACTTCAACGTATTGCATGTAAGTTAGCTGAAATCACCTACTATATAAAATTCGCAATCCACCTAGATTACTGAAGGTCCTTATATGTCACATAATTTATTCAGAAATATCTAATGATAATAAAATTCTTATCTTTTAAAGGATTTTCCCCCATCTAATGTTATACAGGAATATAAACAACATGCTGCAAGTATTCAGGATCAAGGGCGTTCACCCATATCCTGCTTATTATAGAGTTATATTATACATGTACCGTAACTAAATTTATTCCATCTCTAGCTATTCATAAGGTTACTCATTGATTGAAATGACATGCGATGAAAATTTGTCATAAGATGTCTTTTCTACTCAATAACACAAAAGTAGTATAAAACGTTTATGGAATTTAATAAGATCGTGACAAAGTGAAATTTTTGCCAAAATCCTCACTACAGGTAGAATTCAGTAAAGTTTTCAATTAGCAACTTATAGTACACAAATCAAATCCATTCAATCCTTACATTATTCCGACGCAACATTACATGAATCTGATAGTTTCCAATCACTTTTTCCGTTTTGTATATCTGAAAAAATAGAATCCAGAAGCTCGACCACCATTGAAAACCTAGAAGCACCGTACGGCCGTTTCGTCCTAGTATGGGGCCCTTCAGCAGTGCGCACCCACGACCGCGCATGCAGGACCCGAACTCTGAACCTTCAGTCTCACGCGCGAACGCTGAACCTCTAGACCATTGAACCGGTACCTAATTGTGTTAATGTGTAACTTCAATCGACCCATGAATGGTAACTCAACCATTCATCCATTGTCTGAGGTAGATACTTGTCTCTACTCGACACGGATTGAACTCCACTGGTCACGGCTTCTCGTATACGAGATCATAGATGCGCACTACTGAGGTTTCGCATACTAGGAAGAAACAGCTATCCAGTGCTTCTAGGTTTTCAATGGTCACCTAGCTTATATCAACGCATGAATTTAACTATTATAATCACTATAATCTTCACAAACAGCATTCTGGTCGGAAGTATTTGTTATACAAAAACATTTGGTAGACCAAATAAATTACTGTGATCCTATCAATAATACCTTTTCCTGTTCCTCAAGTTAATAATAACATTTCGGTTAGTAGCGCAAAGTAGGGAAATAGGAGAAAATGGGCCGCGTGAGACAGGAATCCTCATATCTCTTTCATTTTCATACCAAACCTTGATGTACTGGAAATTTCTTATATAACCCCTCAGTATTTTGTAGAGATGCTTGAAGCCATTTCATCTGAATAAACTTACTTAATCTTACTATTTAAACTTGGATTAATATTAATTTGGTTATTTATTCTCTGAAGAAGTGGCTTACACTGAGTCACGAAACGTCAGAAAATCTAATTTTTCTACTCATTGGGATATTACAAATATATTATTTATTTATTTATTACTTAATCTTTGTTATTTTCATACCAAGAATAAACACATATACGTGATCCTCCACATCCAACTTGTACATAATGCTTAGTGAAGCACTGAAAACAATGTAAAATTTGTCCTACGAGCTACTAATTCTGATCGATCACCTCATACACAACACATTTCTGGATCGCAACTAGATATTCAAATGATAGCAACGCCATACAAGTGAATCAAGAAAGTGGGTGTTTAAGCTGTATATATGAAGATATTCTAACTGTTATGAATTTAAAAAATAAAGAAGGCCGTATGCTAATTTGTTGTGGTCTTATGTCCGGCTTTTATCACGTGAATTATCCACCAATCGAAATACGACTCATCCAATCTTAACACTGTACCAAGTCAATGAAGTTCAAGTGGTATGAACAGCTTAGCGTCCTTATTGATCCTTTGTCCGCCTAACCCTTCTAGTTGAGTCCAGAACACCAATAACAACTCTTTCTATGCGGATCATTTATTTTAGACATACTGGGTTTATATATCATCCAATCACCGCAACGCACCATAAAATAGGGAATAACATTTATACACAATAAAGTCAAAAAGTGGCTGTAGACGTGGGAGACAGTAATCAATAAACTGAGTATAATTTGTGAACAGTAAATCGTATAATAATCCATAGGTCAAAATGAAGCTTATAATAAGATGGATATATAGAGATTAATTCTAATCACTCAATAGTTAAATAATATGGAAAATATATGTCTATAGGAGGCTAGAAAAGAATCCAGTTAAATAATAAGAATATATATAGAATAATCGTCCATTAATAGGTCCCGGAGGTTACCCGTATTTATTTCTTCACTAGGACATAACACCAACTACTTGAGTAGCTATACGGTAGAGCTTTTCATTTTTCTTGTAGCTTTATGCATGAGTAGCTTCGCTAAAGAGATATTTTATTCCAAATAAATGGTCTACTTGCTATTTAATAGTAGTTAAATTCAATTGCTAAATTTACAGTTTGACTTTACGAACTGATGACCACTAAAAACCAGGTGACACTAGACAGCTACTTTTTTGTCTAGTACGTCTTGTTTTTCAGCAGATGACTAAATACTGTCACTCTGATATGTAGAACTTCAAATTTAGTAATTTTTATAACCTTCTATTGTACCAAATGCCAATATTAAAAGAGAAGTCACATTTTATGAACAAAAAGAATTATTACTGCATTTTTTTGATGTAAACAAGTTTCATTGTTTGGAAATTCCCCGTATACATGGGATCATCGACTGAAATTTTTGTGTAACCTTTCAAGTCAGGTAAATCTGAGTCAAACTAATTATATTTTATACTGGTAACAGAAAAATCTTCATCTGAAGAGTTTAGGTGAGAGAATGAAGAAGAATAATTTCCAGATTGATTGTAATGAAAACTGAAATCATGATCGAAATAAGATTTACTGAAATCGGAACAAGCTGTCTCATGAAATTTTGCGTCATACAGTGCTGTATCAGTATTTTCTTCGAAGTGTTCATGGAATTCTGCTGCCACCTCGAAATCAGTTGGTTGATGGTAACTCAATCCATTCTGGGTTATACTTAAACAAATAATGTGGAAATGGTTATTTAATATAAGAAGGGAAATAAGAGTTCGTAAAATACCAAACTTTTTATTAAATGTCAGGATCTGGCCAATTACTAAAATAATGTTAATCTGTAAAAATTCATAAAGAATAAAATTGTTTCCTGATGTATATTACTCAAACTAATTGTTGAGTCAACTGACAAAGCAATCATGCCAATTATTCCCTTTTTAATAATTAATGAAATAAATTTAAACCGGAAGTGAATTCAGTAATAGAAAACAAGAGGAGAATAGGATGTGTTTTTAAGTTAACAATAATCGCATGAAACCAAAATAAAGACCTAAATTCAAACAGAAAATGTGTTAGTGATGAGAATATGAGATTTTTAGATATAGTGGCAAATATTTTGTGGTATGAAAATTCAGAAGTGGCAAAACTGATACAAGTAAGACATAATAATTATCCATGACAACATAGAAATCCAGAAATCAAATTTATGGAAAATGTCATAAATTGCATAAGAAGTAAGTTTATTTACAAATTATATGCGTGTCTGAGAAAATAGTCAATATCATACGGAACTCCTATGATGGATTAAACTGCCAAATCGTCTACGGAGGACAACTCACCGACTCATTCGAGGTAAAGACCGGTGTCAGGCAAGGTTGCTTACTCTCACCCTTTCTCTTTCTCCTGGTGATCGATTAGATCATGAAGACGTCAACATCTGGAGGGAAGCACAGGATACGATGGACAGCTAGGATGCAGCTTGACGTTTTAGACTTCGCAGATGATCTGGCTCTTCTGCCACACACGCAACAACAAATGTGGGAGAAAACGACCAGTGTAGGAGCAGCCTCAGTAGCAGTAGGTTTCAATATAAACAAAGGAAAAGCAAGACTCTCCTATACAATACAGCATGTACCAATCGAATCACACTTGATGGAGAAGCTTTGGAGGATGTGAAAACCTTTACATATCTGTTTAGCATCATCGATGAACACAGTGGATCTGATGCAGATGTGAAGACGTGGATCGGCAAACCAAGAGTAGCATATTTACAACTAAAGAACATCTGGAACTCAAAATAATTGTCAACCAACAACAAGATCAGAATTTTCAATACAAATGTCAAGACAGTTCTACTGTATGTAGAGGAAACCTGGAGAACTACGAAAGCCATCATCCAGAAGATACAAGTGTTTACTAACAGTTGTCTACGCAAGATACTTTGGATCCGATGGTCAGACACTATCAGCAACATTCTGCTGTGAGAGAGAACAAACCAGATTCCAGTGGAGGGTGAAATCAGGAAGAAGCACTGGAAGTGGATTGGATATACTTTGAGGAAATCACCCAATCGCATCTCAAGGCAAGCCCTCACATGGAATCCTGAAGGCCAAACGAAAAGTGGAAGACCAAAGAACACATTACGTCGAGAAATGGAGACAGACATGAGAAGAATAAAGAACAGTTGGATATAACTAGAAAGGAAGACCTAGAACAGAGTGAGTTGGAGAATGCTCGTCGGCGGCCTATGTTCCATTGGGAGTAACAGGCGTAAGTAAGTAAAGTAAGTATATAATACATATTTGGTCAGTTCTTACCGGATTTACAATGCGGTTATTTACATTAATATAGGAGTATATATCAGATTTAAGAATTCCGTGATAATAAAATTGACTAAAATCTCTATTTATATTTCAATGATAAAAGTTTCAACTCCAAAAATAAATATCTATGAATATGCAAATATCGCGAGTTACTATGAATTTGTGAACTGGTAAAAATGTATTTTCAATATACAAAGTAGATAAAAAGTAATGTATGTTTAAATGTGAACATACCATTTATTATATGTTATATCCGTACGAAATGACTGTTCAGCTGTTTATGATTTAAATTCGTCTCCAGTGTACATAGAGATTTCGCTAAGATAAAAATAATTTATTTTACTAATCATGTTGTTTTATGGCACAGTGCTAGCTTAATTAGTCACAATCTTCGAACAGAATTCAGTAGGTGGTCGTGATTGAGTGACTCTCAAACAAGAACATAACTGTATATATCATAATCCAGGAGCAACAGATATAGTATAGCAAACTGGCCGAATGACTGAATGACTCAACATGATAGTATGGTGTGGGTTACTTATATCCACATAGGTAGTATATGGCGATGGTCAGACATAGAATGTATTTTGGTAGAAGATCGATAAGGAAAGAACAGGAATGAAGCGCAATCGGTATGAAAATGCACAAACAATGAAACCAGAGAAGATGAATTGATATTTGCAGAATGAACAGTCAATATTGAGACAATTGATTGTTATTTTGCAAATTAACCATTTACTGTATGGCTATCAGAATTTAGTGAGATAGTCTGTAATTTGTCCTGAGACGCATTCAATTGTTCCTATCCGTGTTCTTGTTCACTACAGTAGTACATCGAACTTCTTAAAAATGAGCTTTATTACTAATAAATGCTTCCTTATCCATGGTCGCTCAATGTTGTCAAAAATAAGTGCTATCTGATCCGAATATCATAAAAAACTTATATGTTTCCTGAATTTATTATTTATTATTTGAACGCATAAACATTGGCACAAGTTGGAACCAAATACATACAAACCACATAATAGAAATGAGGTTGTGAAGAGATGAAGAAAGGAAGGTGAGTATAATAAAAGAGAACACAAATGAACAGGAATTAATGTGGGAGAGTGAAGTGATAATATAATAATAATAATAATAGTGAAAGAAGTAAATAAGTTAAGGAAAGTAAGATCAGAAAGAAATCTTTCTTTTAAAGAAGCTACTCTTACTTTTATGATAAAAGTAAACGAAAGTTATATATATCTCACTGATTTGCTTGAGACTTTGGTGACAGGAACTGGAATTATTTTTATTTTAGCTATTAAATAAGTCATAATCTGGTATTCCCTAAACACATAATTAAAAGATGAAAATGTACAAAAATAGCATTTGAAATAATTCCTAGAGCATTTTCCAGTATAAATGAGTCCCATAATGTAATAAATAAAAGGTAGGTGAATTTAAGTAACTAAACCAATTCAGATTCACGTCCGAGTTTCCAACACACAACTAGGAGGCATAAAATTACCTGCCTATCGGCTTGCAGATCATAATATGAAATGTTTTTTTTGAAGAATGCATTCAGATTTTATAGAAACAGCTTACGCCAAACTAATTAGTTAACAATGGTCATCGATCGTATCTTATTCGCTTGAAATTACATTGTCAAGTCACATTCAAACTATTCGTTAGAAAAATAATGCGAAAACTTAATCACTTCTTCGATTCACAAACCGTGATGCATAGCTAATGAAAAATAATAACAGAAGAATCCCAAATGCCCTCTCATGTTATTTCAGGATATTTTCTCAAAAGAAATGGATGATAATTATTTAGAAGTAATTACACCTCTATCTAGAAAATTACTAAACAGCAAATTCTTTGGTAAACAGTTATTTCAATTCGTAATTAATAAGTCGACTACATACGCTAGAATTGAACATAAATGTCCACGAGTAAACTTGCTTTTACTGATTATGGACATTAATCATTTCAGGCATACTTGTATATTTAGATTGGTCTTAGAGGGCTAAGTCGAGCTTCCTAAATGTTTGAATACCATTTACGTCGATCTGTCATGTCAGAAAGATCTAACTTTATATGACCTTATGTTGGGCATTTGACATTATGGGACGAATATGTATATTGCACTTGAATCCGTTTGATGACTAATATCCAATTTGTAAATAATAATAATGTTCCAGGAAAAAGATTGGACCTCATTTCTGTTTCGGTAACTTTTTGAAAGTGTTTTCTCGTCGACAGTTCCAGTGTAATTACAAATTCTAAACAGGAATTATATGTATGTTTCACCACGAAAAAATTGCTGCTTTTGCAGTCAAAATAATCAGATTCCTTATAAAATGAAAAATGTCGTGAAATCATAATTATTCTCTCAATTATGAGTAAACGTTTTATTATATTAACAATCACAAATTAAAATGTAAACGATAAAAACAATAACAACACTATTAGTTCATGATAATACAAAAACCTTGAAAACTTAATAGTTGAACTCACGAGACAATTAAAGCTAGACAAACATGGGAAACCTGGAAGCACTGGACGCCGTTTCGTCCTAGTATGGGACTCTTCAGCAGTGCACATCCCATGAGCGGGATATGTATAAAATCATATAACAATTACCAAACTTTCAAAGTGTGTAATTAATGTTTGTTTAAAAATCTTTGTAACATTGGTAGAAAATAGAAACTGAGTAGTGTATAAGTGGTCTAGTAGTTAAAAACGCCTACTTTTCAATCACTGAACTAAAGGTTTGAGTATCTCTCTTCCGACTACTCTTTAGGTAATCAAGTAGTGTCCCTAGCTATCATACAAATAGTGTGGTTCAAAGCCAAGTACACTAACTTGTACTGATTAATGAGTTCTATAGTTACTAAAAATAAATGAGACTTATCATTGACAATGGAGTTTACGGTTATGAAGTATTACTTGAAAATCAAATAAGTTGGGAAACTGTTTAATAGTGATTTAAAAGAACAATTTGATGCCAGAGAATGACATTCACGTTGAGATGCTGGAGGTTATTTGCTATGTTGTTTTCAAATTACCTAACAAGTTATGGTTAGACTGTATCAATTACATACGTAAGTCAACTTGGAGTACCTTCAGATCATTCTGTGAGTGAGGACAAAAATTTAAGTGCTTTGACATTGGTGATTAGTTGAGTCCATATACACTGAGAGACATTTTTCAACTTTAAATCAGAGATAAGATGATTCTCAGTTATATTATGATTGTCATAATATATCAGTAGAAAAAAGGTAATGGTTCAAAAGAATTTATGTTTTAAATGATAATTCTAGTTCTACCCCCCATTTAACTGATAACTTTTTCTGATTTGTAAAGTGACTTATTTATTTATGTATTATTACCACAACAAACTGCCTAATCACAATTTAACTTGTACAAACAAGTTAACAGTAGTAGCTTAACATTTCTAATATTTAACTAAAATAAACAGATTATAAATGTAACAGAAGTGGATTTTGAAGATGCGATAAAGCACCATCTAGCTTCAGTAAGAACTCTAAAGAATTTTTTTCAGTATAATATGCAGCGGATGTATTGGTTAATCTGAGATGGAATTATGTACATCATTACTATTATGTATTAAATCTACTTATGAATTTAAGTTCAAACTACCAAAAATTGTGTACATCATTAACGTTAAGAAAGAATAGATTTAACCTTCAGGCAATATTATTTATCGACACTTTAATATAAATGTTTCTTCACTCTAAGACTATTACCAGAGTTGAGGATTCACTTAGCCTTGGAAACCAAAAGTCTCTGATGGTGTTTTGTATTCATTTGAAAATCATTTATACTAGGCACATTTAACTCCAACCTTTAAAATACAGTCCCCACATTTTTAAAAAGTTGCGTCACTCTTCAATCAGAAGGACTAGGACTAATGGGTTGTTATTCTATTGGTATATGGAGTTAATTAAGTGACGACTTAAGACTGATAGGTACTGTCTAAAGGATAATCAAAAAATTACAGGCCTAGTGGAGTTCATAAATATTAAACAGTATTCTCTAATTGATGTCCTTATCAATTAAGTGAGCCCTGATACTAAAAAACTATGGAATCAGGTTTAATATAGATGAAAGCGATACTTCCTTCCTTGAGAAGACAAAAACTAGGATAAAACGCTTACCATAAAGCACAATTTTCCTCTTAGAAACAATCTCATAAGGTTATAATGACAAATTTATCTCTAAAGTTGGGATTTAAACAAAAGCTATACTTACCCTCTAGTTTTAAAATTACTAAGAGTTTTATCACGTTGCCTTCGATTCTTAAACCAATTGGATACTTGTGTTATAGTAAGACCACTTTTCTTAGCCATGAATTTTTTTTCCACAATAGACGGATATGGATTGTGCACAAACTGTTCAGCTAAATAATTTCTTGATTTATCTTTAAAATAATACGTCACCTGATCTCCATCCCATATTGTTTTCGGCGGTGGGAATTTCTTACGTACACGATATTTGGCTACAGCGTTCAACTGGTGACCACGAGATATCTCTATTTGTGCATATTGTGCTTGATACCATAAATTTTGCATTTCAATATGATTATAAACACTAAATGGAAAATTATTTAAAATATTGAATAATTCAGTAAATTCTTTATTGACGAATGAAACTAATGCTCTGCATTTCACAATTACTTCATTGTTATGATACATTGTAGTTGTTGATATTTTCGACAGAAACGTCTTCAACCGATCAGTTTCTTGGTTGTTATAGAGTACTTGACAAATACACTCAATTTGATTTGAACTGAAATCCATTGGCATATTTATTATGTTTTAATTTAAATCGATATACAGTGACGTAGTATTTGATGTCAGTTGAGATTGAGAAATAACTTTCAGATGAAGTTTATTTTGTAATGTTGGTTTATATTCAAGATTATCATTGATACTTATTTGTGAACTGTTAAAAATCCCATTCTCTAGATTCATTTCATTTGTCTTTATAATCAATCAGATAACCTGGAACTTATGTAATAACCACAAATTAACTTTCCTAATGGAGATTCGATTACTTTTTGTGCCAAGATTTGAAGGTGTTTTAATACCCATACCTTGGATTGGCCAATTAGGTAAAACCTCTCTTCTCATTGGTTGGGGCTCACGAACTGTAATACAGTTATTATCACTTAGGTCAGTGAAATAATTCAGAGGTGCACTACATCACTATCAAATTACCAAAAAAGTGTTCATCAATGTATCTAAAAAATTTCGATTATGAGTCAGAACTTAACATTACGATTTGATTTTATGAAACTGATCAATGGTTTTTGGTTACTTTCTGTATTGTAATCATAAAGCATACAGTCTAAAGGCAGATAAACGAATAGGGACTACTACACACATATTCGATCTTTTCTTAGCTCTAAAGGTCATTTTGCTTTTCAGTTTAAAGGTGATGATCCTAGTGTTGTGGGAACTAAAGTACATGTAGATAGTGTTTTTTTTTATCACACAAATTCATTATCACATAATCATACATTATTTAAAACATCAACACATACTTCAAATAGAATTACTCTATTAAAATGGTTTGGTTATATAAAAATACAGTAGTATAGATGACAGAATAATGTAACTAAATGTAATAATATTCTATAAATTTATAAGATCATAAGAAATACATTTCATACCTTTATAACATTTCTCTTGACGGACTTATTTGATCTACACGCATGTAAATGAAATGGTATGATTCAGTATATATATATATATATGAGTTAACTCCGCCTGTAGCTCCTCCGGGGGCTACTGCCGGTCCCGGGCCCTGACAAAGGAGGAGGGTTGGGCATGGGGATAGCGACCCCATCCCGTAGAAAACCAACTCTCTAAAAAAACGTTAACCAGAAAAATATATTTGAGTTAACCAGTAGCTTAATTTAGGATTTATTTACAGTAAGACATATCTTGTGCTAAATAAATGCTTTAATTAAATTTTCATGACTTATTTAAAGTTGAAATCATGAGTCAATTGAAGCTAGACCACCATAGAAAACCTGAAAGCGCTGAACGGCTGTTTTGTTCTATTGTGGGACTCCTCAGCAATGCGCATCCACGATCCCGTCTCGCGAGATAAGATGAAACGGCAGTCCAGTGCTTCCAGGTTTTTCATGATGGTCTAGCTTCAATTGATTGATGATCTCAACTACTAAAATTACTAAAATCTACACAAGAACCCCTTGTGAATTGTTTAAAGTTTAATTTTATTAAAATTCATTCGTTACAACAAATCATTTAAAAGTAGGAATGAAACCAATTTTTATATATTCTGCATTAATTACTAAGTTGTATAATCTTATTTAGTTTAAGTCTTATCAAGCTTGACCATTATAAGTTTTTGAAATTCTTCTATAAACTTATTTTCGTTTACGATAAATTCTGGTACGAAAATCGATAAAATGTTTTTTTTTTAAATATTTTAACTTAACATTTTTATAAATGAAAATCAGTGATTACAAAATAGATGACAAATAATTATTGCGTAGTTATTCATACATAATACAAATTAAACGATCACTTTTTATTCATATATGATAAAGAACAAGATATCGATTATTTGTAAATAAAGATTTACACCTAAAAGTATGTTGGAAAAAAAGATACTGCAGACGTATATATCTATATAATATAGAGGGAAAATACATCTACCAACAGATTTATAATATCTTTATTATATCTGTGTTTAAATAACCGAAATTCTAATGATTTGACAATACAAATTATCATATATAGTTGAGATCATGAGTCATTTGAAGCTAGACCACCATGGAAAATCTGAAAGCATTGGACGACCGTTTCATCCTATTGTGGGACTCCTGATCTCAACTATATAAAATTACTAAAATCTCTACAAAACCACCTTCTGATAATACTAATTATCAGTTAATTTACATTTGTTCAGACAAACACAATCATACTCTTAGTCGTCTAAAGATCCCCATCATATTAAAAGACTAATATTTGAATGAAGAATATTCTTTTCAATAAATCCTCTTCAGACTCTACAATTATATATATCCAAATTAATAATCCGAAAAAATGACCAGGTTAAGGGCAAAGTGCATCGTTTAAAACAGGTGAATTTAGGATTGTCAAAAAAAATAGAATAATAGATTGTTAATGTTGATACGACCCATATAAAATGTTAACTTGAATTAGCTTATATGTTAAGTGCAAATTTAAGATCCATGGTCAGAATAAATACGGGGTCAGATGGGGTGAGAGAGATATGATAATGCAGAATCTGAAAAGAATTTATCGAAAAGAATATTCACCGTTCAAAAATAAAACCATAATATAGTGTAAATGAGACTAATATGAATAATGATTTATAGATGCCTGGTAAAAATTCACACGACAATAAACGTCTGAAAATAATTTACAAAATTATCAGACAAACATTTTTGTTGTTGTTGACACATAATATTTTTGTTATAATTTTGTTAAGTTGATTGACCTTATGAAATAAGTCAAATTAAAGAATTAAACAATGAAATAAGTATTTTCATAGTTGAAGGCATCAGTCAATGGAACCTAGACCACCAAGGAAAACCTAGAAGCACTGGACGGCCGTTTAGTCCTATTGTGGGACTCCTCAGCAGTGAGCATTCACGATCTCGCCTCGCGATATTCGAACCCAGGACATACCAGTCTAGCTTCAATCGACTCACGATTTCAACTATGGAAATACTGAAGTCTCCACAAAACCCCTTCTGATTAGTAAAGTATGTTATGAAATATATTTATTTTATTTATTTATTTAAACACATAAATATTGGTACAAGGAAGCACCAGATAAATATGCGCCTCACAAATCTCATTCGATTTGTGTGAGGGCTGTGATACTGCTCAGGTGCCCAGACTGAAGCAGGTGGTTTTCTTAGGGGGCCAAACCCCGAGTCTTTGACCTGAATTTCTGATCCACAAGGCAGTGGAGAATCGTGAGAAGATGCAGTCCCATGGTAGCCGGTGATCAACGGTTGATTCGTACGCCATTTGTTCCCTCAGGATACTGGAGCCCATGTGCACCATTGGTTTGGAATCAGGGTTTTCCAACTCCCCTAGGTGGACCCTCCGTGTCCACCAACCCGGTTAAAGCGCCGGACATTCGCTTTTCGTCCTCTCACTTTCGTAAACAACACCCCAGCCACGAGAAGGCAGTGAGTAGGACTTCCCTGGCAGAGGCTATATATTCTCCGGCCATATGAGAGCATTTCGAGAGGGAGAGGTGACTCTCCCCACTCTCGGCCGTACCAGGGCATTTGGGGGCTATGAAATATATATAAAATATGCAAGTGGTAAGAGTCGTAGACAGCATAAAATTATTTTTGTTTAAATGAAACCACTGATTTTACTGTTAACTAGTGAGAAAGCAGACTATTTTATTAAAGCTACATCTTTAGCTTTGTCTCCTATAAAAGTAACTTTCCACAATCGACCGGCTGAGGATTTATAGTTAACGATGAACCTTAACTATTCAGACAATAATTACAGTAAATTACTGATCGGTTTCATAGTAAGAAGGGAAATGCATCAAAGGTAACTATTTTGTTAATAGCAGGTTCTGTTTGACTTCGTTTTCAATTAAAATTACTTACTTTCGCCTGTTACTCCCAATGGAACATAGGCCGCCGACGAGCATTCTCCAACTCACTCTGTTCTAGGTCTTCCTTTCTAGTTATATCCAACTGTTCTTTATTCTTCTCATGTCTGTCTCCATTTCTCGACGTAATGTGTTCTTTGGTCTTCCACTTTTCGTTTGGCCTTCAGGATTCCATGTGAGGGCTTGTCTTGAGATGCGATTGGGTGATTTCCTCAAAGTATATCCAATCCACTTCCAGTGCTTCTTCCTGATTTCACCCTCCACTGGAATCTGGTTTGTTCTCTCTCACAGCAGAATGTTGCTGATAGTGTCTGACCATCGGATCCAAAGTATCTTGCGTAGACAACTGTTAGTAAACACTTGTATCTTCTCGATGATGGCTTTTGTAGTTCTCCAGGTTTCCTCTACATACAGTAGAACTGTCTTGACATTTGTATTGAAAATTCTGATCTTGTTGTTGGTTGACAATTATTTTGAGTTCCAGATGTTCTTTAGTTGTAAATATGCTACTCTTGGTTTGCCGATCCACGTCTTCACATCTGCATCAGATCCACCGTGTTCATCGATGATGCTAAACAGATATGTAAAGGTTTTCACATCCTCCAAAGCTTCTCCATCAAGTGTGATTCGATTGGTACATGCTGTATTGTATAGGAGAGTCTTGCTTTTCCTTTGTTTATATTGAAACCTACTGCTACTGAGGCTGCTCCTACAGTGGTCGTCTTTTCTCGATTAAAATTAAGTCCATAAAATAATAGTGTACCTTGTCAAGAGTGATCACTATATTCGACACAATGTAACATTTATACAATTAGTTTAGTTGGTAATGCAATACATTTTACGAATGTAAGTGTCTGAACTTTGTTAATTCTCGTTAGCTATTATGTTTGCTGATACAAAATTCTGTATTTAAAGAAGATCCATTCGGATTTCATCTAAACAAAATGTTGAATTACCACAAATTTACAAATTACAATAAATGTCTTTTAGCATATGAATTTTAAAAATAGTAGTAGAATGATTTAGTTTATACACATAAAAATTAAAATTCACTCTGACTATAAGTAGTTCTATATATGAAATGGTTTTCTTCAATTGTTCAACAATATCCATAGATCAAAATCTTATAAACACTTCAACATTGTTATTTTTGAATAAATGAAAACAAACAAAAAATACCAATAATGTATAATTACATGATGAAGTGAAAGGGATATATGAAAATAGTAAGATGCACACACTTTTATAATTATGAATATTTATATAAAATGTACAAATACATGAAATAGCTATAAGAGTAAGTATAAGAATAAATGTAGTTTTTCAAAGTTGAAATTATGAGTCAATTGAAGCTAGATCACCATGGAAGACCTGGAAGCACCGGACGACCGTTTCGTCCTATTATGCGACTCCTTAGCAGTGCGCATCCACGATCCCGCACTCGCGGGATTTAAACCTAGGACATACCAGTCTCGAGCCAGAGCCCTTAAATACTGAAATCTCTACAAAACCCCTTCGGATTATAATCATATGCTCACTAGTGACTGCCTTCAAGATACATGTCCTGGAGTTCTAGTGGGAAGCAGTGACCAGTGGAGTTCAACCACGTCTGTTGTGAGATAACAACTCATTGAAGACAATTGGCGAATGGTCGCTCATAATTCGTGGATCGGTTGAAGCTAGACATTAACACCGTTGGATGCCGTCCGGCTCAGTGGTCTATCGGTTAAGGGCTCTGGCTCGAGACTGGTAGGTCCTGGGTTCGAATCTCGCGAGAGTGGGTTCGTGGATTCGCACTGCTGAGGGGTCCCATAATAGGACGAAACGGCCGTTCAGTGCTTCCAGGTTTCCCATGGTGATCTAGTTTCAACTGACTCATGAATTCAACTTTGAAAAATACTGAAATCTCCATAAAACCCCTTCTGATTAAATGTAGTATTTATTAGATTTAATTAAGAGTACATAACTTTGGATCAAATAAGAAATGAAAATTCATAAAATTCTCAAATAAATGACTTCGATCATACAAATAATCATTTAAAGGCATTTCCAATTACTCAAATTCTATTGTAGAATGATCAAATTAACGATGGGAAGCTCAATAAAAGAAATATCACACTACATAAACTTGAAGAAAATGATAATGACAATTTGTTTCGAATGGATTAACCCCACCAAGATTTTAATTTAGAAAATACCAGTCGATATCAAGATGGGATGGAGGATAAGTGTTGCGAATACTAAGCCTATTTGTTATAGTACATCACGATCCCTCGGAATCTTTACTTTAAATGGAACAGGATCTTAGATTTTTGTTGATTTCTAGAAACCCTCAACGAAAAGAGAAAGCCCAGCTTTTAGATGTAAGCGAAGTTGCCATATCCTAACGAAGTATAAATGAGTGGTAACTGCCAGAAATTATGTTTAGACTATTATTACACATATTCTTATTGGATAACTATTAAGTAACTATATTATATGTATATTGATGTTCCTTTTATTATAAGTTTCCATTTGACCTATTGACTACTATTGCAATGAACGAGAACACAAGTGGGGACAATCGGATGTATTTGAACACAAAATTACAGAATTACTTAGCAAAATATGAGAACCATACAGCAAATAATTCATTAGCAAAATACCAGTCAATCGTCTCAGACTTCATTGTTCCTTCGTTTCCACACCAATCATCCCGTTTTCGTTCTTTTCTTCGATCTTCTTAACCTTCTGCCGTCAGGCATTTTACTTTCTATTAATGATGCATACAGCTTATGTGTATCAACATCAGTAACACAAGCCTCACTACTATACGATTTATTATTCTTAAGTTATTCCCAATTTATTAGTTAAAGTATCCCACACAGCCACTTTTGGCCTTATCTTGCACAATTGTTATTTTCTATTTTATGGTATGATGCGGTTTAGTTTGTTTATATCTAAACATAAGCCATGTGTTTGAAATACATGATTTATATAGTGAGGGGTGATATTGGTGTTCAGGACTAAACGGACTGGGTTAGGTGAGAAACTACTGTCTCTGAGGTCCAATAGGAACTCAACATTGATTCTAGGCTGCTCGTACTAGTTTATGTGTCATTCGCTTGGTCGTATAAGCCAGTGTTTCTAAATGGCCACTTAGTGATGTGATATATTGACAGGCCATAAGGACATAACAGAAGCGTGTAAGACAGTGAAACAATCATTACCTTTGCATTAAACCAGATAAACAAATGGTATTATACCAATGGTTCATCTTAGTTCGAGGAGAATAAAACAGAATGATCAGCAAAATTTAGAACTGTCAGATAAACACTAACCGCTGGAATGAGGCAAGAAGGGTACCATTATGTAAGTCCATACATGAAACCTTATCGATTGATCATAGCTTTCGATATACAACTGAACCATTAGTAAATAAACAATTACTTAATTTGTAGGTTATATCAAATAGACGTATCTTTTTTAGTACCCTGGAAATTAGGTTCTGTTTATCGCAAATTGGTCTGATTTGAAGTACGATTAAAAACCATGTATCACCGAACAACCATTCCGCCCTTGTGCGAAACTTTTCAGCTGTGAGTACTACGCAACCCGAACACGGATCGAACCCAGGAAATTTAGTCTTCACTGTGAACCCTTAACTATAACAAATACTAGATCAGCCTTCAGTGGTACAATATCAAATGCTATTAATCTGAAGCGTAGTGAGACAACTTAGTGACACTGATGACCAGTGTTTTGACCCCGAAATTCTTGAACAACCCCCGTCAAGAATACTGTCTTTTGTCCGTTGGATGTTCAGTGAATTTCAAATAAGCTTGCTTCCCGACAGGCAATGCTATTGTGAGGGGCGGTGTCAAAAACCTGATACTGATATATAGTATGCTACACACTAACTATTAGAGTGAGAACACAAGTGTGAGCGAGAAAACGTATTAGGCTACTGAATAAAAAGCACAAATACTTATCCATATATGTACCACTCTAATCGTCAGGAAATTGATCCATTTCTTAACCAATGAAACGCAATTGTCCTTTGGGTCACTTCTGATTGACCTTCGCACTAAGCTACTTCTGATTGGCTCTCAGTATCAAACGCCTTATTTTAATTATCATTTATTTTGTATTCCATTCTAAGAATGAGATGATTGATAGACTGGGGAAACACTTTTTTCAACCAAATGTCCTTCCTACTGATATTCATCAATTTGGGTGACTACATAGAACTTAATTTTGTTTCTGTGATTAAGCACCGCTCGACCATCTCATATTAATTCAGAAAACCAAACACACATATTCCCTTTCCATAACGGATGGACTGAAACTTAGATAATTTATTAATATATTATACTAGTCGGACGTTAAACTGGTTTCCATAGGAATCATCATTGAGTTGAGATATGTCAATGTAATCAATAACCAGGGACTTAGGTTGATATGGTTCCAAACAAGCCACAGTGATGAGCACCAAATCACTCAGTATCTTTTTACAAGTCTTTAATACCTTACAACCTTGAATCCTATTGACCTAAATGTCAATACAATTGATATTATTTCTCTAATTTGACTTTTCTCCCGATCGGTAGATCTGAAAAGAGACAACTTGACTTGGTACAGATTTGTATCTGGTCGTAAATTGTTTATATCTTCCCGAAGTCTATTGAGGTAGCTTAATTCACGCTGAAATCTTGAAATACGACTTCTACGGTAATTTTACTGACAGACACTTAACATGGATGTCACTGAGAATGGTGAAATATGGATACAAATATCTTCATCCAACGGATGTCAAACTAAAGAACCCTACCAATGCGTCCTTGAAAAACAAATTGCAAAACATAACCACACAAACTATGTAATTTCTCTGGGATTGAAGTCTGGTATCTAATTCCTTACATTCCCACGAAAATAACCAATCAGCACAAACACTGTCACACGAAAACGAATCAGAACAACCTGTCGTTACCGAGCCCTTTCGCTAGGTGTATTACACACAGTGTATTACCATATCAACGTCCCAAGTTTTAATACTAGTGTTAGCCGTTAAAAAATAGGTAGATTACTTCACCCAGCCAACAGCCAAAAACATGAAAGACGGTCATGTATATAATATATTAATATAACATTTATTTCAATCAAAAACAATTGACATAAGACCTAATGATAAAAATACTTTTTAACAAAGACCAATAAACATTCCAAAAAGAATAAGCTAAATAAACAATGAATGAAAACGGGGAAAACATAATTATTTTCATTTGTATGCAAATAAACAAACATTTATAAAAAGAAGTGTGTAAAGTAAAAAACAATAATATTACTGAAAAAATAACAAAGTGAGTAAATAGAGTAGTATTACAAAATACACACACATCAGTGAACAAGCGTCCAAGAAAAACACTAAAAAACGAACGTGATAAACAAGAGAACATACCTAATAAAATAGATTCTTACTATTACAAACTGAGTAGCCGAATGATATATTATATATATACGGTCCTGGGAATTTAAAGAGAATGAGGATGAGATATGTGAAAAATGATGAGGTGGAATAAATGAAATTACACGAAGAAATGAAGTTGGAGGGAAACAGTAAGTTATTCAACTATTTCATAATCAGCATGATTATACATAAATGCAATTGAAGTTTACATTTCTCATAATTAAAATATAACTAATATAAGGAAACAAAAGTATGGGACACAAATGGAATAGCATTATTAGTGACCAATTAAGAATAAAAATAACTCAAAAGAACTATTTGAAATATGGTATAAAAAAGTCATTGCATGTATGATAAGGATGCTGCACTTGTTAATAGTAATACCGCTACTACAGATAGTAATAATAATAAAACTGAAGTCATTTGAAAAATTCCTTAGATAACGATCATATTATACTATATTCGGATAATAACTGCTAACTTGCGTGTGTATGTGTATACATGTATATAGATATCGTCAGCAGAAAGGAAACAATTTTTACAAATCTATAGAGTCCAGATAATTCACTTTATATATGTAGGTAGAAAAAAGTAGAAAATCCCAGTTAACACTGATAGTATTGAATAATATTAGTAAACTTTTAATTGATTAGCATTCGAATAGGCAATGTGTAAATAACATCCATGCTATGCTAAAATGAATTAAATGCCTAAACGTTTAGCAAGACGTTGTCTAACTGTTGTATTGGATTTAGTTCGTGGTTTTTGTGAATTTACTGTCATATGCGGATGCAATGTTGAAGTATCTATTGGGATAGAAGAGGGGAAAAGGAAAGCAACAGGAAAATTAGGACAAATAAACAAAACAATAGATTCTTGTTACTATCTCTTAAAACTAAAACAACACAAAAAGAACACCAACTAAACGAATGCATTCATGACTCAGTGGTAATTAAAAACCAATCAAATTAATTGTTTTGATTTACAACACAATAGCAACAGATTATATATATATACAATGAAATCCATGACATATGTATCACTAGGAATTTTAAAGGTAGTTAAATGTAAATATAAAACGTTCTTAGCTTCTCTTTTGGAAAAATATCCCGTTTTTATTTTCGATAGAACAAAGGTTCCCAACTGACAACAACAATGTAAAAATTTGTTACTATGACTGCCATTCGTATGATTTTGGAAAAATACTATTCAAAACTATGAATATTGTATCGCTTTATCTATGTATCCGTAACTATGCTGACAATAATCTTTGTTCAAAGAGTAGGGAAAAAGATAGACTTACAGTCAATTAAACTAAATAAAACAAACCATACTGGGTTGTTATTAGTTCTGATACAATTCAGTAAACAAGAACATTTTTGTACACTACAATATTTGTTAACATCATGAAACTGGTTAAATCAAATTAGTTTAACCAGGAAATGAACTAATAACTACCGAGAGAGAAGTGAAAATCCACAGACTAGAAATGGTTTTTACTAACCTTTAGGTTTTAAAGCACTCGAGCCCGATGATGATGGATTAAGTTCACTGAGTAGAGGGTGCTGTAGAAAATAAATGAGAAGTACAGTGTTCAATAACAAAAAGTCATGCATTCCATGCACACAGAGATAGTTTTCACTACTGCATTATTTTAATAAATAAAATTTCATAAATATTCAAACGAATATAAACATTTTAAAGGATAATTTATTAGTCGATAATGCATACAGCTTTTAAGTTAGTAAATAATAAACATTAATGTATACAACCATATCATGCCATAATTAACCACAGTGAAGATATGTAACTTGAAAAATAAAGTGTTATTGATCAAACGTACCATGTTAATTTAGATAACACTAGAAATTCACACGAAACTTTCTTTGGGTTAAAATACAAGAATATATTCTACAGAATAGTTTAGTTGTTCTTTCTTATTCGGAACTTTTTAATCAAGATATTTTTTTATTCCAAATTTTATGACTTGTATGCAGACTACGATACTGTTTGTGAGATACGACAGATGGTTTTCCTAAGAAGCCATTCTCTAAACCTTTTAACACAAACGTTTGATCCATAAAGAGAGAGGGCGATAAAGGGATGTGTGGTATCATGGTAGTTGAAAGAAAAAGTAGGCTCATAAGCGATTTGCTTTTTCAGGATCCTAGGACGCATGTGTACTATTGATTTGAAGCTGGCGTTTTTCAGCTCGTGTTCTTATTGCATAGTTCCCAAGCACACTTCTGATTTCTCTATAAATATCAACGTACTTTTCTTGCTGCTATCGCCTGTAGAGGTTGTGAGAAATTCTTTCTCTATTTTGTATTTGTTGGGGGCTGAATTGATGGGTTTCTGGAAAATATAATAGGGATTTCCTTGCGAGTTCCTGAGCCTTATGCCTATTCATGTGAACTATGTAGCCACTGTAATGCATAAGAAACTGTAATAGACGGTTCTTAACTGTTTCAACTTATAAAAATAAGCGGTTTGATAGTAGCCACAACGATAGAGGATTTAGTGATAAGTTCTCAAAAACAAAGGCTAAAAAAGTGAAGAACATTGAAGAAACATCAACGGTGAATAGGCTACATCTCGACAACATAGCACGAAGTTACCGCCTGAATGTGGTCAGTTGTATTCATTGATTCATCACGTTCTAAAAAAGGGTGAAAAGGAATCGCAAAGAATAAAAACTCCGAATCGGTTACCTTAAGTTGTCAAGTTCATCAAACCAAAAATACAAGTTAAGTTGATTGAGTGTTAGATAACCTCAAGACCTTGACTAGTTTAGTAAATTTACAGCTTATATTGTTCTTGTTATACTTAGTGTTTATAAAACCAAACAATGATAACAACAGGCAATAGAACTTGGATATTTACATGATCTAGACTGATTTAAATATGTCTCAATAGTATCATTTTTGGATAGGAAATTCCATTGAATAATCGAAAATTATATTAGTTAAACACTAGAAGCATTTACCAATGACTTTTTATCTCTTTTTAAATTAGAAACAAGCTTTGAACTCTTTGACTTCCATTTAGTTGCACTAAATCTACGACGCGTAGGACCTGTAAAGTAAAACAATGTAGAAGAGAAATGTATGACCAGTTGCTAATGTTAAACTAGAAACATACTATTTTCAGAACAGACAAGACATTTTTACAATTTAAAAGACTATTGAAAATAGGAGTAAAATGAGTATAATATATGCCTATAGCCAAATTTCCTTTTCCATTGTGTTTGAAGACTGAATAAGTTCTTGCATAGTTGAAGGTATGCATATGAGAATTTATTTCTACACTTATGTGAAAGGAATACTACTTACTGTTAGCTTTATGAAAAGATTCTTACTTTAAAACCTGTCAGCAGAATGAGATTATATTAAATCTCCATTAACTCGTACCACAACCAGATGTTTATATATATATATATATATATATATATATATATATATATATATATATATATATATACCCTTGTTTACATTCTTGCATACATGCATCACAGAAAAGCTGTAAATGTAACAGGGAAAAAACAATGTATATTCTGGTGATCGTAGATGCACTTAGCTATTGAGATACAGTAACTTACAGTTTTTTGATAATATAGATCGTAACATCTTCTGAGAACAATTAAATCCCTTGAGTTTTCTTCATAATACTTTCAAAAACTGATTAAACTAAGCTAACAGTAATTACAATGTTCAATTAGAGGATGTAAGTAAATGACAATTGAGTATATTTGGATATATTTTTAAAAATCTGACAATTAAGAAACCTGATGAATTCTGTCGATTAGAATAACAATAGACTGGAAAGATTGTTAAATCAGTGAAATGGTTTGTACTGTAAATCTAGTCAACATTGAATTGAAATGCCCAAACTGATGGTCAGGTACGTTAACTGACATACTTTAGAATCAGGAGTGATGTACTGGTAACCACTCCCTTATTTCTTACGAATAGATAATCCTTTATTACTATTTAAGTGGACAATTAAGTTTTTACCTTTTCTGATTTTCTTGTTTAGGAAAGAATTATGGTACAGTGATGAAAACTTACACTAATTTGAATTTATTAACCTTATTAGTAGGTGTTGATGAGAGTAGCCAGTATGAATTAACCATAAATACAAGTTAACATATTAATGATCGAGCTCCAGACTGATAAATTCCTTTAATATAACGGTTAAGATTCATCAACAATATGTCTTAACTGCTAAAGCTGTATATACAGATAAGAATGAAATGATAAACGAAGAAGCTATAGTAAAGAAATCCACACAAAGAAACATTACAAATCAATTCAAAATCCTTTTTGATTACGAAGAAATATTATTTAGAACTTATGGAACATGAGTGACTTTTTTGGATTGATGTTTCCTTGTATTTGATTTCTACTGAAAAAATATCTTATATTAACTACTTCAAAAAAGCGAGGACGACATAATTTGCTTTGTTTACATTTGTAAAGCGAAACAATTGCATGGTATATTGTTATATCCTAGTGAAGACTAAAGTACGGGTAACTTCTGAGATCTATTAATGAACTAATATTCTATAAATATTCTTATTGTACAATTATAACCTCCGGGACCTATTAATGGACGATTATTCTATATATATTCTTATTATTTAACTATTGAGTGATTAGAATTAATCTCTATATATCCATCTTACTATAAGGTTCAGGTTAACCTATAGATTATTATTATACGATTTACTGTTCACAAATTATACTCAGTTTATTGATTACTATCCCCCACGTCCACAGCCACTTTTTGACTTTATTGTGTATAAATGTTATTCCCTATTTTATGGTGCGTTGCGGTGATTGGATGATATATAAACCCAGTATGTCTAAAATAAATGATCCGCATAGAAAGAGTTGTTATTGGTGTTCTGGACTCAACTAGAAGGGTTAGGCGGACAAAGGATCAATAAGGACGCTAAGCTGTTCATACCACTTGAACTTCATTGACTTGGTACAGTGTTAAGATTGGATGAGTCGTATTTCGATTGGTGAATAAATCATGTAATAAAAAACCGGGCTTAAATACACAACATATATCAATTACGTCAAACTCAGCTAGTGAATGCACGAATTGTGGCAGATTTTAGGAAAAATACCAAATACAGAAATACTTTCGGTAGATGAAAATAAATCGTTCCGCAAAGAAAACACACAAAGTTCTTGCAGGAAATTATGGCTTGTATGACTAAGAAAGGCTAGGATCAAAAACGAACGCTCACAATTAATCACAATTAACCTGCAGTAAAAATTACTTAAATGTCACGTTAATCCCTAAAAATAATGGAAGTAAACAATCCCAGCTGCATCAAGAATTTCAATTTGTAGCATTTTTATTGTTTAAATGACAACCAGTGATCAATGATAGAGCGTCCGCATCAGGAAATGAAGAAAGATTATTGAAAGTCGACGATAAGTAATGCTGCACAACTTCAAAGTAAAGGCGAATAGCGTTAAATGAAATAATAATATTTGAATGATCTCATCAATAGAAATTTAGACCATTCTAAAGTTTAGTTTGGTCATCTGGTTTAAGCTTCTTTAATGGGAATATAGTCGAATTGCTCAAATCTCAATCGATGAGATCATTTTAATAAAAGTTTTACATCTGATTTCCTCTATACATTGGGAGCCCAATTTTTTCAAACTATTTGCTCAAATATTGACAAACAATCACACAGAGGTGAATAAATTACCCAGTGAAATTTTTTCAAATAGAAAAACAATTATTCAACCTACTAGGCATACTCCACGTTGGATCACCATCATCATTCTTAGTCTTTCTTTTCCTACTTGCTTGATATAAGGTAGATATCCCCTTCTGTTTTTTTGTTAGCGAACATTCGGCTTTTGATTTCATTGTAGCGTTATCGCCATCATCACTTTCTGAATCACTTAATGTCAAATAGTCTATTTTTTTAGAAAAAAAGTATTATTATGAGTTGACGGTGAGTAAAATGTCACTTTACTCAAAGTTACACAGAAAGATTAGTTTCAGGTTACAAACATAATGTAATTACAAGTCTCAATCATTCATAAAACCACCGAAAAATAGAGTGAAAAGCTGAATATCTACTACAACCAATTTAATGATCCGTTACAAACATTCACCTTTTATCCATCTCATTCCAAATAAGATAAAATAAGAAGGCATCACGATTTGTAGTGTGCACGTCACACTTGAACTCATAGAACAGATTATATAGTTCAATCCTACTTTTGCTAATTTAAACAACAGATAGACCGAGTATCCTTCATGAATTTAGTTTTAATTAACACATAGAGTAGTTAAGGCCAAATAGTCCTATAAGTAGATGAAGAAGTGTCTGACCAGTCTTGTACCTTAATTGGTATTTGAATGATCTAAATTATCAATAAGATTTTTTCATATTTTACTTTTATAAATGTGGTGTGGCAAATTATATCAACATTATAATTTGGAAGTATGATAAGTACCATTTAATAAGAAATTGACAACAAAACCTTCCCTTACATGTAACACAGACTTTGCATAATCTTCAGTTAAACTTGATAATTACAAGCAATTTAGTAATTGAATAAACAGACATACCATCTTTTGTGAATAATAAATGAAGATACTACTTCACAGTTCAAACGTAAGTCCATGAAGTATTTGTGATTGTAATACGACATTGGAATGTTAAATACTGAAACCCCTGAATTATAGTTTCATCATAGCCTACAAATTTATAAGTGATTAAACAATAACCATATGACTTGATTTTCCTAATTTAAGACAGGTCTGAAACAGTACCTGAGGAACAATTCAGCAGTAACAAGACTTCATGCACAAGGATGAAGTCATGTTTTCTTTCATTTTTGTACAAGTTAGGAACGTTTGAAACATGACAACCATCTTCACATTTTGTCAACAAAATTGGTTATATTGGTTTACTGCTAAACTGGCAGATGAGTTAGTAAATCTTTATCAAATGAAGTGATTGAAAAAAGTATCTGTTGGGGATGCTAGATCGACAGAAACCATCTGGTAAACGTCTCATTCTTGCAATTTTATTTTGCAAATTCGAATTTCTCATTTTCGCGCCAAAGTCACCCACTTTACCTTGAGTTTGTATTTCTCACATTACGTACTCACGCCTGTTACCCCTCGTGAAGGAGCATAGGCTGCACACCAGTACTCTCCGTCCAACATTGTCCTGGGCAGTTCTTTCCAGTTGATATTCATTCTTTTGATGTCTACTTCCAATTCCCGGAGTAGTGTTCTTCAGCCTTCCTCTTTTCCATTTCCTTTCAGAATTCCGAGTTAGGGCTTGCCTCGTGATGCAGTTTAGTGATTTCCGCAATGCATATCCTATCCATTTTCAATGTCTTTTCCTAATTTTGCTCTTCAGCATTTCCCAAATGAGAAGACCTTAAACGCCAGTGGTTCGTTTCCTTTATTAGTACACTATTTTGTGACGTTTTCCAAGAACATTTTAGTACTGTATATATATGCATGAGTTGTGTGCTTGTTTATTCGTGCTTCCGACTGCCTGGAGAATATTCATTTCGCTCGACTGAATCTGATCTTCTACCTCTAGTTAGCAGGGCGGGGGCATAGTGGAATAACCTAGCTTGTCCTGTTGTAGTGTTCTGTTAGCCGGTTTTAGGTGATATCGTAATCTCTCTAAACGTAGCAGTATCCCAAACTTCACCTGTCTCGTTACACGTCCATAGCTGGTGTAGAAGTAGGTTGGAGGACAGCTGGAAGAGGCCAAACTAAGACTTGGCATCAGTATATGAAGTCATAGATTGTTGGTCTGAGCAGTATTGGTAGGTCTAGACTACCAGACTGTAGTCAGGGTGATAACTGCGATCCGTAGTAACATGGTTCAGAATTGATTCCAGTAGAGTAGATGGATTCACTTTTTGTCTTCTTCCAAGTCTTGAGTATTAGTACTCTTCTAGATATACCTCGCTGTCTTATAGAATCATCTTCACAATATTTAGTACATCTCAACATTTCTACTACATTATTTAGACTCCTCGCTACATATCTTGTGAAATTTATCTCGTTGTACTAATGGAGTACGACAAATTGGGGTAATGTACATTTGTGGTAGACTCTACGTTAATTATGACTAACTGAAAACCAGATAAAATTCTGATAATAATCATTACATCAAAGACGATAAAACTGGTGATAAGACATAACCAATACAATCTATAGAAGAAATTTGAAGTCTCCAATACATCGGTTGTCTCTTTACTAGTGTAAATAATATGTAGCTAAAAATCAATCAGTTATGCAATTAGAGGAGGAATAATATTAAGCATATATAAATAATCATTCATACATACAATGGTCTCCGATTAATCGACTTTTTTCCAAACCCGGAAGTGCTTCAAGGATATCTGCATCATCAATAATAACATGTTTCTCGTTCTCATTTCCTTTTATCGAGCGCTTTGGTTCACGTAAATTTTTGAAATAAGTTTGTCTATTTGGCATCCAACCTAGACCTCCAATATGTCTATCTTTAAGTTCCCAGTTAGTTTCCTTACCTAACTCACGGTTCAAACATTCGATACTTTTAGAATTTGAACAGCTTTCAATTGCTCGTCCATTAGATCTATAACTGAAAACATGGAAGAGAAGTGATATATATATATATATATATATATATTCGAATCTAAAAATATGATCAAGTTAGGGGGGTATCAGTCTGGAAGAAACTTATCCAGTTATTTAGAAGAGGAAAGTTGGTATGGAAAGCTTATATTAATAGTGAGATTTCCATCTGAATCGCATATATATTATATGGTGAATTTTAACTGCGATATTGCAGGATGTTAGCAATTTTCTGAAGTAAATCTACTATTAAGTATGTAACTGCTTTCAGTGAACTACAAGGAACACAAATCAAACCATTTTGCTAAGTTTGTTATTTTCATCCTACCTGTATTAAAAAGTAGTACATTGTAGAATGAAAATAAAATAATGAATGATGGCTCTTGATTTTTCAAATTATGTGATTTATAATGATTAGTCTTTATAAACCTGAACTATTATTGTCATCTAAATCTTTAATTCAAACCCAAAGCTGGATTTGTTGTGAAATCTTGAGGCTTACGGGTAAACAATATAATCACCACACAGAGAAGCCAATGAAAATAAAGATCTTACATGTTCACCCAATTATTTCAACGAAAAAGAGGTGGAAGTTTAAAGCGTAAACTGGTTTGTAACACAGAAACTAAGGAGTAACAACTCACTTGGAATGCTTTGAAAATATCTCTGATTTGGAATAATTTGCTAAAAAATCTGAGTTTTTTGTTGAACGTGAAGATATTGAATTTACGACCTCAGACAGTCTTTCAATGAGACTTGGACATAACATGTCTAACTGACTTTGATTCGGAAGAAAGTAATCTCTTTCTTCTGGTGGGAGCTTAAAATAAACGGAAACCGGAAAGATGATTCTCAATGAAAACGGTAAACTAAGGGAAAGTCTGAATCAATACATATACTATCACCATAATACTCCAAACATAAAGAATATGATAAATCACATGGACAGTAAATAATTTGTGCATTTTTTCAAACTGATAAAAAATACACAAAACGTTTCTGAAAACAATGAAGTAGAGGAAGAAAAATTATAGGGTGTTGAGAGGTCCGAGATTTATAGGGAAATAGATGGATCCATTTAAACTACTGTCACCAACTCCACACTATTTAAGGTCTCCAATCATAAGTCATGATTAATCTACGGACCCCAACAATTAAATATGCAACCATTGATACGGCTGAAAACCTGAATGTCCTTATTTGTACGGTAGTTGGTGCTTAGGCTAGTGCTTTCTTGAAAACACAGATAATTACAAATCTGAAGTTTTGATACAAAATAGTTTCATCATAATAAACGTTAACACTTGTACTTACAACTTTATATTTAATGATCCATAACCGTGTCAATAAATATTTATTTGTGAAGACCACCGTTTTTCAAGTGAGACAATTTTTTTCAATTAGTTTTTCATCATGGCTCTACACTAATATATATATATATATATATATATATATATATATATATATATATATATATGATTAACAATAATCAAATAACACTCATATTTTTTTTTAAAAAACGGCATCAAAATTCGACAATTACTATCATTTAAATGGGAAGTTGTTTGGACTTTTTAAGGGATGACTCAACGAAAGGAAAAATTGTCACCTAACTAAAATAGTTTAACAGATTTCGGATAACTATTAATTAAGAGGCCGTAATTATATCTCCAAGATGTTAGAGAAGACACGAGAGTAGAATTTAATACTTAAAAATTCCCTACTATTGGTTGATATAAATGCAGTGATTAAATCATAAGCAAACCAACTAGCTGCACGGATGTTTATATATTTTCCATTATAAACTAACAACTAGTAGTGTTGTGATGTGGGTTACCTATATCCATATAAGTAGTATATAACGATAGTCGAGCATTGAATGTATTTCAGTAGAAGATCGATAACGGCAACAAAACCCTGTTGGTATGAAAATGCATGGACAATAATAATCGGATACGATGAACCAATATTTGCAGAAGGAACGGTCAAGACTGAGACAATTGACTGACAGTTTGCAAATTAACTATTTACTATATGGTTCTCATATTTTACTGAGATATTTTGTAATTTTGTGCTTAAATACATTCGATTGTCCCCACTCGTATTCTTGTTCCCTACAGTGTAACCTAGGAACGGGAGATCTTAAGTGACATTTCATAAAGTGCAGGTACGTGTAGCTGAGCGCTTACGTATATAAATAGACGTAAACTTCGCAATTTATTAGACATTACTAAAGTAACATAAAACTTATGAATGGTGAAACCAGAAGATTGAAGAAATACTTGGGACCAATAACATGGAATGAGGTATTCAGCAAATATGAACAGACTCAACGATATACGGTGGAAATTTGTTTTTGAGTGTCGGTGGAATTTACATAATATGACCCTATTGGTATATAGAAATTAGAATCTGAACACCTGAGCGACAAGTGCGACACCCTTCTATTCCATAAAGGGTCTGCTTTCGGAGTTGTTGACACCGTACAAAAACTGTGCGATTATATTCTTCCATTATCAATTGTGAAAACCTAATTGGATTTCCTAAGTACCCAATTAACTTCTGAATGAAGTTCTATATTGGTTATGGGAACACAGTGTAGCTGTAAATAATTCCCCAAAATCAATAGTTCATTAAGTGTTCGACATTGGATGCTGACCACGTGTTTAAGTGGACTTGTTTAGCTGAAGGTTTTCGGTCATGCATCCGCACCAGATCACGTTTCGACTCGGCGTGGGACACAGCTCCTACGTTTCATTAGCCAGCTTATAGAAAAGGTCCTTGATATATTGGTAACGAATCAAATATATCTTTCCTGCCTCTTCTCGTCTGACTTCTGATTTCTATCTGACTGGGAACGATCGAATATAGAAGGTGCTACTGGTAGCTAGTTGTAAAACTAGAACATCCGTTGCATCATCAACAGGTTAAAAATTACACCGCGTTACACAACTAAACATCGAGTTTTATACTTGGTGAAAACTTGGACTTTTTATCATAATAAAGTTTTCAAACTTTTCACGATGATCATTCAGTGATATTTAAAAATGCAAAATCTATGAAAAATACATAAAAATGAGTATGAACATTATCCAAAATTAGGAATGTAGTTTGTTATAAAACATTCAGTTACCAAATGTCTTTTAGAATACCACAAAGGAAGAACTTTAGCCAAGCATTCAGCCGCTTCTACATCAAAAATAACCGGAATTTCGCCATCAGTCAAGTTATCTACAATAATAGTGAAAATTTGAAAAATTTCGTAGTTGGAGAAGGTGAAATATTTGGCACAATAATTTAAGAAATTATGTCGCTGAAATATATTGACTGAGATACTTACTAGTTAGTCTGTCCAGGAGACATTGGCTATAAAACCAATGAACTTTCTCAAAATTGGGGAAAAGAAATTTAATTGGAGTTTTACATTTTTGTTCCATGCGATAAATTCTACAACAAGAACAGTACAAACTAAACTAAGGAATTAAAACAAAAAGTTATTAAGTGATTAAATAATATTAGGACCTAGTGTAAATAATGAGCCACTTGTAATTTATCTACGTCCTTCAGATTATTTTTTTCTAATTCTCAATAACTGTTCACTTCAGCCAACATACCCCAGTTTCAAAGGAAATATAGTGAAAACTAGTTTTCTTGACTCGCTACAACAGTGCTTCAAAAGCTATTTGACTTTTAATGCTTACAACTTAAATCAAATGAAACAGTAGGCTCTGCTAGCCAAACTCTATTATAGTTGGTTGTAAACTAAGTGTGTTACCACACTATATGAGTCATGGAGGTAAGACAATTTCCTCGACTTAACCCGACGAATATAGTGGTGCCTGCAATTAAATGTACTACATAAAATCTTAACCCGCAAATACAGACTTATGTTTTCAATGAAACAACAAAGTGATTAGGTGTTCATTTTAAAGACGAGTACCATGCAACCACTTTCAGATAATTCTAGATAATTCAATAAGCGCCGGAAGAGACTGCTTTGATCGATATTTTGTTTAGATCTACTGTTACTTACAAAGTAGTTGGAACTCAAATATGACGAACAATCCTTACTAAAATCGACCAAACTTAATAAGAATGAAGACAATATGATGTGACCACGAAAGTTGAGCAGAGCAGCAAAATGATTAAGTATTTTGTCTAAAAGTTAGGATGATTGCTGTTACTCACCTCCTGTCATTGACAGTTTTTGAACAGTATAAAATTTATCCACAGGACAAGACGTTTTTATTACCTTGATTGATAAATGTCCACCGGATACAAGAGACTAGGATATTGTTATGAAGTTGGATAGACTGAAAACTAACTTTACTTTACTACATCGGTAAGACAAAATAGTTTAATGGCTTTTCTCATGTTGCTCTTGTTAAACCTAACCCTTTCTCTGTATATCCACGTATATGGAAAGCTGAGACATTGGATAACTATGATGTACTTCAAAGATTAGTGAACCACTCATTTAAAGAAAGATCAAACACAAAGATTAAATTTATCTTGGACTTAGATTGAGTTAATCTCTGTCAAAAACAAAAATAATTATGAATCTCTATTGAGACCTGAACTCGGCTACATTGCATCGATGGGGGAAATTAAGAAATATTTTTGCTGACACCATGATTTAGATCACAGTAGTCAAACGTGCACTTGGTTCCTGAATAGCATGTAAAAACAAGTCCAAATTTTCCACACCTCAAGAAGCTCATAAATCCCAAGAAAATGTCAACTGACTTCATAAACTTGTTATCTGTTAAAATAAAATCTTAACGAAACTACACATTGGACAATGTCACATCAGGTGGGAAAGTTGTCTAGTACGAATAATGCTAATTTTTTGCACAGAATCCCAGACAAAAAATCGGCATGAATATCTAGCATTGGGATTGTATAATAACCAGTGCCGACCGATAATAAATTCAGAATTACACCACTAAACCCCATTTTATTATTTTAGAGCCGAAGCGAATAGTTAACGACCTAAAATAACCATCTAAACTTTTATAAAACATGACAATTAATCACATGGTTTAAAATATGAAGCAAGTAATCAGACCACGTAAATATACTTCAATAACCTACCTGAGTTGCATAGATACATGCAATCCACTCAGGAAATTCCCTCCAAAAACTAGACAATCAGAAGGCGTGTAAACAGCGTGGATCCAACCAGATGGTAGGAAGATTGTTTGGCCCGGTAAAATACGAAGGCAGTAAACTGTAGGTCTATTTACGTTACTATTCGATTCTAGAAAATTAACTCAGAGCTGTGTTCCACAATGCACAGACGAATGCTTACCTTGATCCCGAAGACTAGCCACAAAGTCTGGGAAGAATGTCGCCCTATGATTACTGCTCATACACCATCGCCAATAAGCAGAAACAAACTCGGGTGTAGGCGGCATCAAGTAAAACACCTTTTCGCCCTATTCTCATAGACCTCACACTGAATAGGAAAACCTACCCACATGACATGGTACCAAACAGACGATCCACCGAAATCTATATGGAAGTCAGTATAACTGCCTTTCATACTTAAAAGACAGTATTTCTGGACAGTTGGCGCAGTCTCGTCAACAAATTCGATATCTTTAAGGTCGTTAGGGTCATCTTCCGGCCAACAGGTTGTGACAAGACTAAGTTCCGAAACGACATGCGGAGGATGTACAAACTTTGCCAGGCTACTTTTGATGTTAAGACAACATATGTTACCTGGTTCTTGAAAACTCCAGACTCAGCATATTTAACAGCACCTGTCGACGAGGTGAGGAAAAGTGATCAACCAGTTCTTGGAGTGTCATTTGTATCTCGACTTGCTGACGAACATCGATGACATCAACCTGAGTACTAGGATCTAAAACCAATGACCTTTATGGACTTCCAGTACCTATAAACCTGGTTAAATCTGTGTGAGAGAATGAGTCTAGCGGGACCTTAAGTCTTAGACCATCTTTTGATCGTACCAAAACGGGTTTTGAGAAACCATTCGCTTTAAAACTATGTCCACTAACATCACAACCATTCATAATAAGTACCTGATCATCAGCACTGTTACTACATATTAGGATAGGAAAATAAGTACCTTGTAAATTCACGAGCTAGAAGCATATCGACAAACTCCTTCGACCCAGAAAGAGCCATTAAAAGGTTGAGAAGGTGAATCTGGGAATCTTAAACAAAGTGGAATAGCGCCGACACTAATTTATCAAGTGCAGCGGTAATACCATAATACGCGCAACAATACATATCAATGGAATAATGAGTATTGCAACCTATTTCAAAAAACCTTTTTTCTATATGAGGAATAATATGGAATTGATAGAAGGTCATTGAATTTCTCGTTTTTTCTGTAACAGGAAGCGCGAAAATCTACGCGGCTTGATAAAATCATTCTTTAGTAATGGAAGCGACTTGTCAGCAGCTCTTTGTGAACAAAAATGTACCATTCACACTAGCAAACAGTTATTAACTCAGTCGACGTATATTTTTCCAGTGTGTGGATGCTTCTGGAAGCTGATGTCTACTAGTCCGTTTATTACTTGAGGTGTCTAATATATTTTATGGTTAAAATAAATACCATATATCCACCTTCTGTATGACATTGTACGTGTGATCATGTTTACACTCAAAGTCTCTCATTTATTCGTGTAGACCTTGACCAAACTATACTCATAACTACTTGGTGCATCCTTTACATTTGGGGTTCAAATAAAAAGCACTGCCTACGTAATTACGCTTTCTGCTCCATTGACCACTGCCCTCGACTGAAGAGTGTAATAACCCTGTAATAACGTTTATAGACCGCCTTCCGCTGGGTGGGACTATTTGCCCAGATTATTTTTCAGTAACGCCTCAAAAATATATTTAGTAAATGAACGAACTGAATTCGTTTCGGCTACCCAAAAATGAATTTCGAATTGACTTCCTGTAGACTACCAGTTTAAGTGTCTTATGCTGGTGATCGGGGCCTACTCGAGTCGGGTTGAAAATAGTGTGACCTCCAAGCTTACATTAAAGTAACACTTAGTGGTTAATACCTACCGTAGATCACCCTCACCCGCGATATACTAATACTGTGGCTGATCTGATCACACCACATCATTTCAAACTACTACTTCTAATATAAAATTTTAATACGATAATGTTTTATTGCAAGTTTTATGTGTAGTGCACATAATACTGTCTACTCATTCATGTAGTAATAATATAACATATTTCTGCAAGGGCAGGTACACGTCATTCTTACAAGCGTGATCTACAATTTACGACATTTACTGTTTCACAGTATGCATCCCAAGCAGGGTTGTTTTGTAAATATAATCTATAAAAGTGAATATCAGTTCATTCGTTCAGATATACTGTGCAATCTTCAAGATATTTTCCGAAGGGGCATCGCGTCCACGTTGCACACCAGATCCAATCTCGGCAAAAATTGTATTAGGATTTTGGTCGTGCTAAATATCTATGTAATGCAACTTTTCAAGTTTATAGTTATTATAAAGTAGACTTGTGGAGCGCTTAGTGCGAACTATGACCTCGGGAAGGCGCCTACGTCAAGCTTGTTCCAGATGTAAAAAGTTCTTCAGCTTCGCCCTCAGAGCAGGATTCTGAAGAGAAAAATATGCAGACTCAAACATAAAATGATCTCAGATAAATCACTAATAGCAATAATACAGGAGAATGACAATGGATAATATATGAAATATAGTACACGTATGCTTGTGAGTGCAAAGTTTATTTTCTTGTGAGTGAAGTTAACTGGTGTTTCAAACGAAAGACTATGAACTGTGGGTACATAAGTGACCATTTCGTACCCTTTTGGAACCCTCAACTGAGGGAGGGACTTTAGTCACATAGGTTGTGAGCGGAGTAAGGGCAGGGCTTGTAAGAATCTTTCTCGAAGTCTTGTGTATGAAAATCTTTCCATATACACATTGCTGTTATGTATTCTTCTTGATCCCTTCAGACGTATGTTCTGTTGATGTTTTGATTCCATTTTAGGTAGTACTATATGATTTTTATTGATGTTTTTGATTTCCCTACGTCTTGACTAAGTTCCTATAATTTTCTGAACTATGTTTATGCTGTTCAAGTCGATTTTGGGTTATGACAGCCCCTGTATTGATTCAGTTCTCTTCTTTATTAAATTGCCTGCATTGAGTGGAATCGTTCATTTTGAGTGTGAATTGAAACACCCTTCCAGAAAGGGAAGCGTTCTGTGTTATAACGACATTAAATATAGTCTTTCTGACAGTTTCTATGGGATCTATCCAGAAAGGGTAGAATAAAATTCCTGTGTTGATAAGAACACTTATTTGTTGCACTTGGTAATTGTCCTATACTTTTTATCAGTTTGTCTATTTCATGCAATTTATATTTGACCTCCGAATGGATAATCATTGGTTGAATAACTGTGTGGCAATATTTGTTTAGAAACTTCATGTTCTCAACTACTTTGTTTTTGGTTTTCACTTGGTGATAGTGCTTATCCGGATAAATTTAAACAGTTGTTCATCATCCCGAGCTGACTTAGTTTGGAAGCTATAGGACCTACTCGTTATGAGGAAGTGCGAACTTACCTTCGTTTTCAACTCCTCCAGAATGGCTTTGCGCGGTGCGAAATTGAGGTTACGGTAAGGCATTGCAACTAGTGTGAAGTGTAGTACTTAAAGTATTTCACATCGCATTCGAGTTACTTCTTATTCTTTTGTAACATGGCTATTGCGGTTCCAGGCAGTGAAATAGGCCATCACAAAGTTTGTCCTTAAACTTCATGACAAGCTTGATTGAAAGCTTTTGTATCTGTCTCGAGACATTCAGATTCCTTTTGAAGAGAGAGTGCAATGATGCTGGCGGTACGCAGGTCTTGAATAGTTTCGAAAAGAGCTCACGATTCAGTATACTTAAGTTTCATCAAATGTGGAGAAGAATATCACAGACTCTCACCAAATCACCTCGATAGCTGTTATTAGTGTCTGAAATTTCTCTCAGCAACATACTTAGGTTGCTCTCCTGCGTCTCGGAGAAACGATGACTGAGGTTGAACTAGTTGACTGAAGTATCTGTTGTAGCTCAAGTTTTCATCAGATATATTTTGAGACTGAATATCAAGCCCTTCTTCTGTTCTTATTATTCAGGTAGCCACAGAGCTTTTGGAAATCTCAAGCGCATCTGATGGCTCCCCAAAGTTTAACGTTATAACCATTGGTACGAACTAGTAGATTGAAATTTTCTAGCAGGTAGTTGATGAATATGAAGAATGAGAGAGGGCCCACTGTGGTTCACTGTGGAACTCCAGATATGGACCTTTTAGCTTTCAAGCAGAACACTCCGTTCATTAGGTAGTTTCGTAACCAGGAAAAAAGGGTTGATGGGTCCTCTCCTCCCGACTATAGTGGCACAGTATGCGGTAATGTATCAAATGCTTTAAAGAAGTCCATAAATAATCCATACACTGCCAGTTTCTGATCATAAAACTTTGTATATCTGTTCCAAGTCGATAAACTGCTTGTGGTGCAGGACCTTTCTTTCTAGAAGCCATGTTGTGCCTCATGAAAGAGGTTTTGAAGAGACTATAATTTAGGAACGAACCAATAAGATTTAGGTTTACAAGTCTCCTATTTTGGCGCAAACTTCATTCGCCCCTCGCTTATGTAGCGTCTCGGCATTTTGGCTGATGTCCGTTCGTGATGTGGACCATAAATATAATACCTAACCATAATCATCAGTTTTAAGACATAAACCTTATTTTTCAAACTGCTGTGTAACTGTCATTTAGCAATGGTAGGTAGGTGGATAGTTTCAAGGCCCTTTTAGCGTCAATCAAAGGTTGTCCATAAATTATGGTCTTATCGTGACGTTTTATCTTATCGACCTCCTCTTTATGCACTCTTTGTGAACGAGAACTTTAGTCATAACGTGATTCGCACTCCCCGAAATTTACCTGCCATTACGCAGCAAGAGTACTATTATCGATCTAAAGAATCTGTCTTAAGTTTAACGTTCAGTAGATTACCTTCCTTTTGCAGTTCCATCACAGTCAGTAGTTAGCTATGATTTTACAACGGATCACTTCTTGGTTTTAGACAGTCTTCCATGTCGATGCTAGTTTTAGCACATCTTAACTCCTAATAACACTTGTTTTTATCCGTGTTATCCGTTCCGACAGTCATAAACTTTTGCTAGGACCTATCTAACAACTCTTATTTCTAACATGGTCATGAAGAACTCACACAAGCAACCTGGATTACTTATTTACTTATGCCTGTCACCCCTCGTGAAGGAGCACAGGTCACACACCAGCATTCTCCAACCCATTCTGTCCTGAGCCTTACTTTCTAATTATATCCAATTTCTGTTCATTCTTCTTATGTCTGTCTCCATTTCTCGGCGTAATATGCTCTTTGGTCTTCCTCTTTTCCTTTAAACTTGAGGATTACATGCGAGGGCTTGCCTTGTGACGCAGTTAGGTGCTTTCCTTGATGTGTGTCCTGATTTCTTCGTCCACTGGAATCTGGTTTGTTCTCTCACACAGTAGCTTGTTGCTGATAGTGTCTGGCCAGCAGATCCGAAGTATTTTGCGTAGACAACTGTTGATAAACACCTGTATCTTCTGGATGGTGGACTTCGTTGTTCTCCATGTTTTCGCCCCATACAGTAGAACTGTCTTGACATTTGTATTGAAAATTCTGATCTTGTTGTTGGTTGACAATTGTTTTGAGTTCCAGATGTTCTTGAATTGTAAATATGCTGCTCTTGCTTTGTCGATCCACGTCTTCACGTCTGTATCAAATCCACCGTGTTCATCAATGATGCTAAACAGATATGTAAAGGTTTCCACATCCTTAAAGCTTCTCCGTCAAGTGTAATTTGATTGGTGCATATTGTATTATATCGGAGAGTCTTGCTTTTCTCTTTGTTTATATTGAGACCTACTGCTACTGAGGCTGCTGCTACACTGGCCGTCTTCTCCTGCATTTGTTGTTGCGTGTGTGATAGAAGGGCAAGATCTTCTGCGAAGCCTAAGTCGTTCAGATGCATCCTAGCTGTCCATCGTATCCTGTGCTTCCCTCCAGATGTTGACGTCTGCATATACGTGCCGATCATCAGAAGAAAGAGAAAATTTGAGAGTAAGCACTATT